TTTCCGGTGATTTCTTCTAATGGACGAGAGATGGTCGAGTGTCGATCTATGAACCTTCGGAAATAGTTTGCAAAGCCAAGAAACTTCCTCACATCAGTTACTGACGACGGAGTTGGCCATGTTTCCACAGCACTTATCTTCTTGGGATCAGGGGAAATTGATGTGCCGTTGATTTTATGCCCCAAGAAGAGAACTTCTCTCACGCCGAATTCGCATTTAGACTGTTTGCAATACAGCTCACTATTTCTAAGTGTTTCTAGAACTGTTTGAAGATGATGCTGATGATCTTCCCAGGTCTTGCTGAAAACTAGAATGTCATCCAAGAATACTACAACGAATTTTCGGAGATGCGGTTGCAGAATAGAGTTCATGAGTGACTGAAAGGTGACCGGGGCATTAGTCAGCCCGAATCCCATGACTCTAAATTGGAAGTGGCCGAACGGCGTATTAATGGCCGTCTTAGAAACATCCGAGTCTTGAATTCTGATTTGATTGTAGCCTGACCGCAAGTCCAACTTGGAGAAATATGCACTGCCCTGGATCGTGTCGAATAAGTCATCAATATTAGGAAGACAAGCTTTGTTTTTGATCGTAATTCTATTCAATTCTCGCCAATCGCACACCATTCTCAGAGTACCATCCGACTTTTTCACAAAAAACACAGGTGCACCGTATGGCGACTTACTTGGCTCAATGAATCCCTTCTCAAGTAATTCTGATAGCTGTGACTGGAGCTCGTCCATCTCTGGTTTCGGCAGGCGGTAGGCGGGTCGAGACGGTGGTCTGGCTCCATCTTCTATCTGGATTTCATGGTCGACTGGTCTCTTCGGTGGAAGCTCATTCGGCAGCTCGTCTGGAAATAAATCCTGGTACCTCTTGAGCAGGTTCTGGATGTCTTGTTGCTCTGATTCCTGGAGTTGTGGCCCGGAACGATTCTCCTCGTTTGCAGCAGTGACCCATGCAAGAAACCCCTCGGCTCCACTCCTCAGGGCATGACGAGCTTGTCGGCCACTGATAAACATGCTTTCCACAGATGGCCGGTCGGCTGTCGGCGGGTTAGCTGAAGGCAATTTGGCAACAAAGGGCTCACCGTCCAACTGAACTTCGTTCGTACGGAAGTTGATGCTGGGGTTGTTCCTTGTAAGCCACGGCTTGCCAAGAATAGCGTCGTAGCGAGTCAGGGGATACACAGGAAAGTGCTGTTCCTCACTGAAGCCCCCGACTGTCACCCTTAGCGTGCGTGTGGAAATCTGCGGGACCTCGCTGGTCGAGCCGTCCGCCAATGTTACGCTCAGCACTGCTGAGCTTGCATCCGTGTCAAGATGATGCTTTCGAACAAAACTGTCTCCAATGAAGTCATGCGTCGAACCGGAATCTATCAGCATCACTGCACGGCGACCGCCGATCTTTCCCTGTATGCGCAGTAGGTCGTGTTCAGGTTCATTGCCGACGCTGACGTTGCTGACATGACACCTTTCTGCAACGGGACAATTTCCTACAGCTATGGGTGTCTCCGGCTCCGTAGGTTCCTGGAGAGCAACGTCTTCAACCTCCAGAGCTCCGAACCGGTTAGCGACTGGTACCGGCGTGGGCGCTTGGGTCGTCGCCAGTAAGCGCACCCCCTTTCTTACTGGCGACCAGCGTTTGGGTAGCGCTGTCCACCCTCAGTACAGTCTTTAGCGAGGTGGCCTGGCTTCCTGCAAGCAAAGCAGTGTCCCATTGCGCGCAGTTGGACACGCTCTTGGTCCGTCAGCTTGCGGAGGCCCTGACCACGGAAGCTGGGCACGGAACGCGACTCTCTACTGGCTGGTGGCCCCGACGCCGGTGGCCCTGACGACTGCTCCACGGTGTTTGCTGCCATGACAGCTTGCTCCAGGGTACGTGGATGCTCACGCATGACCTGTCGCTGGATGTGCGGCACTAGACCCCTGACGAACAGCAGCGCTCTGGTGTGGTGGTCGATTTCCGGCACTTGCAGGCTGAGGCGAGTGAAAGCAGCAATGTATGCGTCCAGCGACCCGCGCTGCGCTGCGGAAATTAGTCCCATACGCGATGTTTCCTCGTTGTGCCGTGGTCCGTACACATCGCCAAGTGCCGCTTTCAGAGCAGGCCAGTCGGAAAACACTTGGTTAGCTTCCAATGCCGCTATCAACCAAAGACGAGCGTTTCCAGTCAAAAATCCTGCCGCGTAGTCGACCCTCTGTGCCGCATTTGGGAGTGCCAACGACCGTAGGGCCATGTCCATTGCAAACGTCCATTCTTTGAATGTAGCGGAATCTCCTCCAAACACAGGCGGCTCTTTCGTAAGGCGGGGTGTTGGCTCCCACGGTTCCGAGTTCGGATGTATCGTTCGGTTTCCTTGGCTAACGCGCTGAGCGGTCTTGATATTGTTTATCAGCCGAACGACGAGTACGAGGAGCGTAAGCAGAGCGACCAGAACACCTGCCAAAAGCAGAGTAGTAACCATCCTCTGCTACCAGTGTAACAGGTTTAATCAAACTTGAAAAGTAAGAGGCCTGGTTGAGCGTGCCTCGACCAGTTATATGCAAAATGTGATAGTATACATGTGGCAATGGCGCCAATGAAGGTGCTAATAGACAGGCGTAAGACGCATGAGGTGCGAGGGAGTGTAAAGTTATAGAGAACAGGGGAAAACTGTTACAATTACTCTCTACCCTCAGTTCTTTGTCTGAGTTATACTCATTCCAATTTGGTACAAGTATTCTGCTGTCTAGGAGCCGGGAAAGCACGTTTCCTTAGCATCCTTCAAAGCAACATCAACTTCTGGGCTGTGCCAGAACCTATTGCAGACTGGCAGAATGTGGCTTCGGAGTAGGTGAGTTGATTCATATCAAGTTTGAGCAGCGTTGTCGAAAATATGACCATAATAATATATGTTTGCATTGTACTGAATGAAATGACAATGCAATGTACATGTAGTGAAGGTTGGCACATGATTCTGCACAACACAGCCAGCGAGAAAGTGAAAAGCGAGCATTCAAATTACCGTTATATGCTGATATATCAAGCAGCGCTCAAAGCATTATTAGTAATAAGAATCAAGCATTAGGCGAAGATGCCCAAATAAGTGAGCCAGCGGATAGCTGAAATAGGGCATGACGCAAAACCACTTGGGGCCGTCAGGTTAATTTTCCTGGACCGAGCCAGCCGGGAAAAAACCCTCGCGCCGACGGACGCAGTAGAGAGGGAAAAAACCGGGTGTATATCCCCAATGGCAATTAGGCATGATGTAGGCATGGCAAATGGTGAGCACACTGCGTAATGTGGAAATACACAACAGTTCTCTTAGTCTAAATCATCAGCTCCGCTTCCCGGAGTAGATCGTCGCTGTTGACTGTTTCGTCAAGGTCTGGCTTATTCAAATCGACGTAGGTTACGTCACCAACAAATTCTCTCATCGCTTTCTCAAATGCATCGTCATCAAGCAGGTCGATGTCATCGAGCCTAGAACAGTCAAAAGAATAAGAAGTTATCTACAGCCGGCAAGACAATACGAAGGGACATTCAGATACTGCTATGGGAATGTCGTGGATGTGATATACTCAAACTACCATGTTGTAACTGCAGTAGTAATAACTGCACCACTCATGTTTATAATTAAATCCCAAAAATGACGGAATATTAAAAGAAAAATTACGTCCAGCATGGGACTCGGGTAGACTGAAATTTCACACCCATAGGAACTCAATCACCCTGGAGGATCAAAGTCCAGATAATAATAATAATAATAATAATAATAATAATAATAATAATAATAATAATAATAATAATAATAATAATAATAATAACATTATTAGGATGACCCAAAGGCTGACCGCCTATCGTGGGGTCCGTCGCATTGAAGGATGATGGTACAAGAGAGTACAGATTGGGAAGGGGGGGGGGGGGGCTACGATGAACAGGGTAAGGGCATGCCAGCGAGTAGACCTGAATACTGACAAGAATGTTTGCGCAGCTCTCTCTTGAATACATGGACAGAAGATTCCGAAGTCAATGTGGGTGGGAGACAATTCCACAAAAGGGAGGTTTTGAATAAAAAAAGAGATTTGAAAGTTGTCAAGGCTTTGGGGAGGATAATTTTGTTGGGGCGTCTCTCACTACGGGAAATATTAAAACTGAACTGAGCCAAGGTGTTCCGGTATTTGAAAATAAACTTGTGCAATGTAACTAGGCTAATGAATTGTCTACGGTACTGCAGTGATTCTAGTTTGGCGAATGCGTTCAGATTGTGAGATGCAGCTTCTAAAGCGGTCGGAGATGAGTAGTTCAGACCTACCATACAGTTGCCTGTAAAATACGGAAAATTCAATCCGCTGCATCCATGTCAATTCGATTCGCGCCATGAATCCAGAAATGTGCAGTGTGAAAACTCGGACACATTAACGCATGGCATGTAAGGCACAGTGTGATGAGAATTAGCCCGTAACAAGCACTTACCAATCAAATTCAGACTTGGCATCGGACTTCATAGTCGAAGTATCAGCAGTGGAAGTAACTTCACTTCCTTCACTTTGGGACAGCTTCTTAGTGGCTGGGCTTTCCTTCTTAGCTGAAATGTACAGATGAAGAAGCAAGCGCCTTTTATTAATATATTTACAAAGGATCAAGCCAGATTATAGCATCCCATTAGCCATAGAATGCTGGAACATACATATCATTAGCGCAGGATCACCTACTACCAACCCCTACGTCAGGAATAGCGTTAACTATTTGCAAAGCCCTTAAACTGCATTGTAGCACACTACAGCCGTGTTGAAGCAAATGGTCTTTCCACACGAGAAGGAAGCAGAACTCACTATCCACATGTAACGAGAGGTGAAGCACATATCCTAAAGACCATACAGTAAATGCCAAGCCGGGCCACACAAATAAACAACAAGAGAAAGGTATCGCTTAAGAAAAGGCACTGGAAAGGACAACAGATCGAAAGTAATGTCTTCAAGCACATTTCTAATACCAGCATCAGCAATGCAACTTACCAGAAGAATGACTGCTGAGTCTTGTTATCTTAGCAGGTGGTGTCGCTGGAGTGGAACTCTTGGTAGGTGCAGTACTCAGTACTGAACTACATACATTCTTGCTTGCTGAACTGACAACTACTGATGGTGATTCCTTGCTGGTTGAATCGGCCGGTCTCCTTTGACAGGTATCTACTGCAGATACAGTGCTGTCACTAATGGTCTCGTGATGCTTGCGTTTCTCAGCTAGGATTTCATCTAAAGACTTGATGCGAAGACCAGCAGCAGTGGACGGTTGTGGGGACGCTGGTACAGCAACAGGCTATGGAGCAGTCAGAAGAATGGAGACAGAGAGAGAGAGAGAGAGAGAGAGAGAGAGAGAGAGATAGAGAGAGAGAGAAAAAGAGAAACTTAAAACATCTGAGAGGCCTTGCATCGGCTGATGATTTAAGGGAGCAGCCTACCCATAAATTTCATATGGCATTCAATTGACCGTACCTTTGGTGATTCTCAGTGGATTTGAGTGAAATTTTGACCACACACTTCTGCCACTATGCTGGCCCTCAGGACATGATTTACAAGTTCTTGCGCCTCACTGACAGGCTTTCCAGGCCGGAAAAACTCAAATTTCCGGCATAGTGCCACGGTGTGCGAGCCACCCAGGAGCCAAACAAATGCATTTACATGTACAGCTGTATGGAATTTGATGCGAACAGGCGGATTTATGCGATTCGTATGCAATTTGCCTCGAATTATGCGATTATTCGATTTTGGTAGGAATTATGCGAAAAATTATGCTAGCATAATCCGTCAAGGCCTATTTACCAGCACACCTATATGTATACAATGTACATGTAGTTGTACATGATTGTACAGAAATCATCATACATGTACATGTCTCTGGCCCTGTAGATGGCTCAAAAAGGCATATTTTTCAATTGATTTCCCTTGCATATTGAATTTTTAGTTCCTTTCAACTGCAATATGAAAATAAAGTACACATTGACATAGAGCAAGAAAAGAGCTTGATTTTGATATGCATGTCATACTATACAAAATATGGGTTCACATACATTCAAATGGGACTTCGGTTATAAGGACACTTCGTGAATAAGGACACTTTTCTGTTGCCCCGCCGAATGTCGTTATTGGCGAAGTTGACTGTACAATGTTTTCACATTTTCGTGCCCATTCTGTCCGTGCGCGGGACCCGAACCTAAAACAAGTCCAGAAGCAGCCATGGGTGGTGGGGTAGGGCCCCTCAACGTGGCCCATGGAATCTGTCACAACGGAGCGAGTGGGCGTTCTCTCACGGACTCCCACAGACCCAAGTCAATTTTTGAATTTTTAAGTTTAGCACGTGCTACGAGGTCGTACCTTTGATACAACATCCAGTGCTGGGACCTCCACAGCAAGCCATTTCCACAGCGCTGCACACCAAATCCAGGATGCCCTCAGAAACCGGCAAAGACTGCCACTCACGTGTCACTACTGCCTAGTACTGAATCCTACCTGACTTCTTGACACGACTCAAACTTGCCAAAGTCACTAAATCAACGTCACCTACAATAATCAAGCCACATATCTGCAACGTCACGAGGGTGCTGGCAAAAGTCCTGCTGCACGGTGGTGGGCTTCGCCCCCCGCCGTGCTGCCCAATACGTGGGTTTCTAACGTGATTTTTTGGACTTTTTTGGACATACGACAAGTTGCGCACGGTCTGCTCACAATCAAATACAGTGCTGCCAACAAATGACAGCATGCAACAAAAAAATCTTTCCTTGCAAGGGCACATTTTCGGCCATAGCTCTTGAACGGCTGGTCAGATAGGGACACAATATTCAGAGAATTTGCAGCTATTCATGCTCCTTCAACTGACGTAGCACTCAATATGAATTTACAAATTCAATTTTTCAGCAAATTTTTGGGTAGTCTGCCACCTTTTAAAAGACAGTGCAACATGTAAACCAGCTGCAGGACATTACACATATTACGAAGCACTTTAAAGCAGTGAACAAAGTTGTTAGTTATTTTGATACATAACTGGCGGAAAGAGCGGATGGCACCTTTGCGCAACAGCTCGACAACAAAATAATGAAGAAAGCAAGCCATGCCCAAATAGTGGTGCACATGCAAGCTTCACTTTGAAGTTTGGTGCAAAGTTTGGTCTTGTAGTGTTGCGCACTGGTGTTGGCAGCAGCATTGGTGGTACTGCAACAGTTACTAATTGTACATGTAAGGAAGTAGTACCTTTTGGGTTGCTTTCACAGGCAGTGGCTTGGTGCTGGCATGCACATTAGCCCAGGGTTCTCTTCTCTGTTCTTGTTCTGTGTCCTGCTGACGCTGCTGCTGGAGCTGCTGTTGCTTGGAAAAGCGTTTGGCTCTTAGCTCCTTGACGGACAGCCCACTGGACTGAAGAGGGCACGATGGTAGTGTCTGGCTTTGAGCAGATGATGATGTCTGCCTTTGAGCAGATGATGATGTCTGCCTCTGAGCAAATGAAGATGGCATTGACAGAGGCTTCTTGGTGAAACCATTTGTATGACCAACTTTATTCAGCAACTGAACTTTGAATGTTTCCGCCTTAACTTCCACCTGCAATGAAAAGCAACATTAACAGGACAGGCACAGAGCGACGTACCACCGGCAAGAAGAAAAAAAACACTTGACGTCATTTTAAGGTTCAATAAGCACCCAAATCAGCCACACACATCGAGATGAAGAGATGCACAAACGTTTACCCAGGAACTCAAGAACGCAAAATAAAATATTGCACAGTAACCGCCAGTGAGGTTGAAGTTCTGCAACTAAAGGGTAACGTGTGAAACGGTGGGGATCCTGAAAGGACACCGCCAAAGTCGTCAACAAAAAGAATGGCATATGAATCTGTCAACTTTCAGCACCAGGACAACACCAGGACATACATATCCTTGCACACACAGACATACACACACACACACACACGCACACACAGGAACGCACACACAACTCATTCATTGATATACCAATGGATGTACATGGATACAGTACCTCAGGCCTGCGTCGTTTGGCTAACGGCTTTGTTTGGTCTTCTTGCTGAACAGATGCTGTCCTTTTCATGGGTAACAAAGGACCTGGACCACGCCTTGCAGTTTCAGGTCTGCGCTGTTGATTTAGCTGATCGCGAGCATGAACCCAATGGTATCGGCTCATTGAACGAGTTGCTCTTCTCATATCCATTCTGGAGTCAGCGGCAGTTGAGTCGTAGGAAACCCCTTGTGTTCGGGCGTGTCGCAGTCTGTCTTTAGAATTGCCAATAGTCCGGATGGTAGAGCTGCGCTGTGCACTGCTGTCATCCGGTATGGTTATCAGCAACTTGAAATCAGGTTGAAGCACCTGCGCTGGTCCACCTGAAGAGTAGATAGGACAGTAAGGGTTAGCATCAATGATGACTTTGATGGATTGTCTTGATGCCTGGCAAGCAGTGTGGATACGCCACATCCAGCAACATTGCGCTCACCACGAGCAAGAGTACGCAAGTAACCGGTAATACGCAACTCCCGCAGCCCTTTCCGTACCAAGGACGTGTAACATGTTTGTTTGATTATCCTAATTTTTCAGGTGAAACGGGCCTTCTTGCTTCATACAACTAAAAGCAGTGTTGCAGCCATTTTGCGGTGCAGATTTCTATATACTCAAAAAAGCACCTCATACACACGCTATCATTGGCAAAAGGGCTAGGTACAGTCTTACAGCAAACAGCAAATTCTTACCTTTGACTGGATTTCCTTGGGATGCGGTGGGTTGAACTTGGCCAGTTTGCAGAGGCGCATCAGAACGGGGCTTCAAATGCTTGAATGGGCAGAACGGCTTGGTACACCCCACTCGCTGAGACTCCCAGTAGCATGGCATGCTGCCACGGTCTTTCTGCAACACAGTAACCAAGACCACATCGAAAATAAAGAAACTCAGCATGCATCACCGTGCACTAGGTTTTCCTCAAATCAGCGCGTTTTTACCGCCTGGTCAGCTTTTCCCTCGGCTCGAAAATACATCAGATTCGGCTGAAAAATCAGCTGATTGTTTGAATATTGGAACGTCGTGTGAAACAACTTGTTTTGTAGTCAACTAGTCCATCACAATGTCATGCAGGAGGAGTACTGTAGGAGTTTGGCTTTCGACTTGTACAATTGGTTTTCGCAAAGCTTCCCGTTTCTTTACGTATCTTCGATATTTATGACCCACCCAAGTTGGGTGGTGTGCTGCTTTGCTGCTTCGAATTGTAGTTAGACCGTTTTGTCAAATATCGTACTGGTCTCGTCATCGTCCAGTAACAATTGACATTCTTTGTTCCGTTGGGACTGTGGCTTTTGCTCGTTTTCGTTGCGCTTGCCTTACCCTCTTTGGTCTATTCATAACCTAGAACCTTCCAAGTTGGAAGGCTGTCGGTTAGCGCTACTGAGATGTGTTGAAGCTAGGTGTCAGGACGTCGAATGTCTCAGTACTCTTGGCAGTTTTGTGCCTAGATATTGCACTTTTTGACTGTATTATAGTATCCAGTTACAGTGATGAAGAGTTACTCTTAACTCGTATCCGTAATGTCCTTTTCCTTTCTACATTTACTTATCGCTCAACACCCGAGTTTCAAATAATAATAATAATAATTCAAAGGATCAGTTGGGGAAGTTAACTGCCTGAAAAGAGAAACAAATCGCGAGACCCACCAGGACTCCAACCCGGGACCTTGTTTGTCATTAGCCATGCTCTTACCACTGAGCTATGGGACCGGGCTGAACCTCCCCATGGCCCAGGGGACCAACCACTTTCAGTTTTTGTTTGTTTTGTTTGTTTGTTTGGCTTTATTTAAAGTGGAGTTCCAAAACAGGCCTAAACCTAATGACAATGGTCCCACTGATAATAAGAAAAGAAAAAAATAATAATAAGCGGACAAGCAGAACCAAGAAGAAGATACAGCTGTAGTTAGATAACTAATATGAGCACGGCAGCAGGGGAAAAAAAAGTCACAAGCATGGCAACCGGGAAGAAAGGAGTGAGTGAGTGAGTGAGAGAGAGAGAGATAGAGAGAGAGAGAGAGAGAGAGAGAGAGAGAGAGAGAGAGGGAGAGAGAGAGGGAGGGAGAGAGAGAGGTAGTGAAGCAGATGAGTTCATCCTAGTTGACGGTACTGCCTAACAGAAAGGCCAGGCTTAGCGATTTGAAAGTGGAGCGCTTTCTTTCGAGGCGTGCTGTGTCCGGGAGCTGGTTCCACAGGATAGCTCCAGCATGGCTAATGCGCTTAGGTGAGGATGCAGTGGGGGAGACAGGAATGAGTAATTTGCTGCTCCCTCCTCGTGTTCGGAGAGAGGGACTACGGGTGAAAAAGCTTGCAAACAGAGTACTTGAAGATTTTTTCAGGCAGCGCCAAATGAATACAAGAATGTGCATGTGGGTGTATATGCTGAGGGTATGGGCATTCATGCGTTCAAGTAAGCGAGCCGTGTGAGTGCGAGGGGCTGCCCTGCACACCGAGCGAGCCGCACGTTTGAACAAACTATTTAGGCGCTTATCCTGATAAGACGATAAGAAAGGGGCATAGGCAGCAGATGCATAGTCAAATTCTGATAGTATAAATGACCTGAAAACCTGAACACGGCAAGAAAAAGGCAAACATGCTGCACTTCGATTTAGTAGCCCAATCTTAGCGGCAACGCGGCGTGCAACATGGCTTGTCATGGTGTTCCAGCTCATGTCTGAGTCGAAATGTAGGCCAAGATACTTGGCCGTTTTCACAACAGGCAGCGTCTGCCCATTACAAATGACATGCAGCTCAAGTGCTTGAGCTCAAGTGCTTGAGATGGGGATGGGGGAATAGGCAATATCTGTGTCTTTCTTTCATTAAGAGTTAGCCCCATCCCTCACACAAACAAGTCAACAAAGAGGCATCTTTGGATTGAGGTGTGCTGGTTTCGAAACAACTGGTTTGAAGCTCAAAGTAGAGCTGGTGTTAGCTCAGAGCAGAGCTGCTGTTAGCTCAGAGCAGAGCTGCTGTTAGCTCAAAGTAGAGCTGCTGTTAGCTCAAAGTAGAGCTGCGGTTAGCTCAAAGTAGAGCTGCGGTTAGCTCAAAGTAGAGCTGCGGTTAGCTCAAAGTAGAGCTGCTGTTAGCTCAAAGTAGAGCTGCGATTAGCTCAAAGTAGAGCTGCTGTTAGCTCAAAGTAGAGCTGCTGTTAGCTCAAAGTAGAGCTGCTGTTAGCTCAAGGTAGAGCTGCTGTTAGCTCAAAGTAGAGCTGCTGTTAGCTCAAAGTAGAGCTGCGGTTAGCTCAAAGTAGAGCTGCTGTTAGCTCAAAGTAGAGCTGCTGTTAGCTCAAAGTAGAGCTGCTGTTAGCTCAAAGTAGAGCTGCTGTTAGCTCAAAGTAGAGCTGCGGTTAGCTCAAAGTAGAGCTGCTGTTAGCTCAAAGTAGAGCTGCTGTTAGCTCAAAGTAGAGCTGCTGTTAGCTCAACGTAGAGCTGCAATGCTAAATGGATGTAATATAGCGCAAGGCAGAGCCGCAGCAAATAGCTAGATAACACCAGTTGTGAGAGTGGACCCGGTTAGTGGGTACGATAATATTATGATGGTGTGAATAAGTTGGATAGGGAGGGATGGTGGGAAAAGAAACACTGCTGAAGCACGATCCGTTGTCTGGAAGAGCACAACAGGGCAAGCAAGATTTGTTTTTTCTTTTCCGCAAAAATGGGCTGGTGCCATTTGTGATTACGCAGCAAAACAAAGCGCGTGACGTCAGTCTTGAATGCAGTACAAAGCAATGCAGTGCAGTGTGTGCGCTAGTTCGGATTGTTGCTAACAAGTACTAGCACAGCTAGTACACCATTAGCCCCATCCCTCACACAAACAAGTCAACAAAGAGGCATCTTTGGATTGAGGAGTGCTGGTTTCGAAACAACTGGTTTGAAGCTCAAAGTAGAGCTGGTGTTAGCTCAGAGCAGAGCTGCTGTTAGCTCAGAGCAGAGCTGCTGTTAGCTCAAAGTAGAGCTGCTGTTAGCTCAAAGTAGAGCTGCGGTTAGCTCAAAGTAGAGCTGCGGTTAGCTCAAAGTAGAGCTGCGGTTAGCTCAAAGTAGAGCTGCTGTTAGCTCAAAGTAGAGCTGCGATTAGCTCAAAGTAGAGCTGCTGTTAGCTCAAAGTAGAGCTGCTGTTAGCTCAAAGTAGAGCTGCTGTTAGCTCAAGGTAGAGCTGCTGTTAGCTCAAAGTAGAGCTGCTGTTAGCTCAAAGTAGAGCTGCGGTTAGCTCAAAGTAGAGCTGCTGTTAGCTCAAAGTAGAGCTGCTGTTAGCTCAAAGTAGAGCTGCTGTTAGCTCAAAGTAGAGCTGCTGTTAGCTCAAAGTAGAGCTGCGGTTAGCTCAAAGTAGAGCTGCTGTTAGCTCAAAGTAGAGCTGCTGTTAGCTCAAAGTAGAGCTGCTGTTAGCTCAACGTAGAGCTGCAATGCTAAATGGATGTAATATAGCGCAAGGCAGAGCCGCAGCAAATAGCTAACACCAGTTGTGAGAGTGGACCCATGAAACCAGCACTCCGTTAGCTAAGCACTATTGACGCACAGCAAGGGTCAATTAATGTCAGCACAGGCAAGCATTGCGCAGCTAGAGTTCAGTAGCTCATTACTCACCCGAGTTGGGGATCATGGCATCCATGGCACGGCAGCAAGCCGGGACGATAGCTGGCGCTATGCGCTTGTTGTAGTCTGGATGTAGCATAGACACGCATCGCTCTTTCCACTGACCTGCCACTCGGAAGAAGGAGTCGGGGGCACTAGCCATAGCAGCGGTGGTGGCTGCACCAATGTGGACCGAATGCCCGGAGTAGTTCGACTGGGATGGTACACCGGCCGCAGCGACAAGAGACCATACTGTTACTGTGAATGACTGCCTGGTCAGCTGCTGTCTGTTCGAGAGTACGAACAAGAGTTGCTCCGGCCCCTCGCGACGAGTGACAAATGGGTAGCTAACAATGGCACGGACCGGGCAGTACGGCGGTACAGACGGGCCAATGTCACTAGTAACGCCTTTTACCGAATGGGTCCGTCTTGGATGAAAGCAGGAAGAGTTGCAGGCGTCCGTCACCAGGGGAGCTAGTACAGCCCCGTGTGATGCCATTAGTGAATTCAGCGCACCGAAGAAATCCAAAGAAGCAGCATGGCGGCTTGGTAGAGCAGCTTGTCATGGCCATTCAGGATATTACTTTTCCGGCGTGCATCCGTCAGGTGTCGTAGGATTGGCATAGTTATAGGAAGGCGAGGGGTGAGTGCAGCCGTACCATGGCATCGCTGGCTGCCCTTCAACACCCTCTTCAGAAGCCACGCATCTACTAAGGGGCCGGCAAACCCATTCTTAAGGTAGGCTTTATGCACCGCACTCGCATACACAGATACAGTTCAGGGCACGCTGATCATAGTTCACGCATGAATGTGTGTCCAGGAACGATGACTCGGGCAGCAAAAGTGAGCTTCCCCAGGAGGGACTCGAGTTGACGCTGGCCGATACTGCGCTCGCTGATAGTAGCCATGAGTGGCGCACGGATCTCGGACAGCTTGTCCTCCGGTAGCCGAGCTTCGTGGCGCTCGCAGTCTAGGACAATACCAAGGAAGGTCAATGATGGTGATGGCCCTTCGAGCTGGGATGAAGCAAAGAGGAGTGCCGAGATACGTGAACGCCCGGAGGGGGATGGTGAGTTGCTGGTTGGCTGCAGCCAAACCAGTGGAGATATCGAGAAAGTCATCGAGGTAGTGAAGCCGGTGATCTATAGCAAACTCGTGCTGCATGATCCAGTTGACTGCTGTGGCTACTGAGTCAAAGACGGCTGGGCTGGAGCGGAGGCCGAAAGGCAGAAAGCGCTCGTAGTAGTAGGAGCCTTCCCAGCGAAGTCCTGACGGCGGACTGGGATCTGCCGAAATGCACTGCGTACATCAAGCTTGGACAAATACACAGGCTGTGGGCATGACATGATGATGTTGATCGCGTTGTCAATGCTCGCGTAGTGCAGAGAGAGCGGCTCGGCAGGAATGCTGTCGTTCGCGCCGGTGCCCTCCGGACTAGACAGATGGTGGATCATTCGCGGCTTGCCGTTCTTTTTGGGGATGGCACCAATACCAGAGCGGCGCATGAACTGAAATGGAGGTGACGAAAATGGGCCTGTGGTCTCGCTGTGGGCGCAGGAAGCAGCTAATTGCTCGGATATAAATGCCGAGTGAGTGAAAGCCAATGGTAGATTATTAGAGAAAACCGAAATGTCGTGTTGGCCGGCAGATCCAAGGATAAAGCCACGGCGCAGGCCATGGAGAACATACGCTACACATGATTGATCTGAGTGGTTACGTAACAGGCGGGCAAAGTGGTCAGCTAGCAGTGTGGTGTCTGCAGAGTGTATAGGAAAGAAGCTACGTACCGAGTCAAGCGATTCAGTAGCCATTCTGCTAGGAGCGGCGGGGTGGCCGATTGGCTCCGCGCTGCTGCTGGTTGCACATGATGCATGGGTGGTCCTTGCCACACTGGCTGCAGGTGTGGGAGAAGCGGCACGACGACGAAGAACAGCGACCTCCATTGAAGTTGCGGCAAATTTCTTGGCCGTCGCTGGTATGGTTGCGACCACTGGAGGTAAATGCTGCTGGCTTCGGGACGAAAAGGACACAAACCGCCCCTGGATGGACAGTCTTACATTGAGCGCATTTTGGGTCTGCATGGCCTGTGACAGCTATCTGCCATAGGTTCACGTCGATGGTGTCCAACCTCTTCGTGCCTGGTTACTGGGCCACGAGCATCCGCAGCTGGCGGTCGTACTCTAGCCACGCGCTTGGGAAGAACTGGCAGTTAGCAGTCAGGATCAACTGCTGGTACGCAATCACTTCAGCAGTGCGGTGTAGGGCAGGAGCCGTGATAACAGACATGTATGTGGTCCATGCCTCGAGCGGGGTAGCTACATGTGTAATTATCGTGAACCTTGCGACGCACCTGCTTCGCGTCATCCGACTCAACGATATTTAGCTGGCTATCGTTATTCGGGCTGTGCACCAGCCGGAATGTTGGGCCGGAAGTGTGCAAGAATTTCAGGCAACAAACTTGAAAAAATCTACGAACTCCCCTCGCAAGATACGTTCTTGCATGCACAGCCTTGGGCACAGCTGGTGCAGGTGGCTGATCGGGTGGGTTACCGGAGCTTGGCCTGGCGTAGTGGCGGCAGCTGCCGCATTGCCTTGGCCTTGAGTGAGGAGCGGCACAATGCTCTCCGATAATAATAAAATGGCGGCCGACAAAGCCGACTACACCTCGTCCCGTACGGGAGCGCAGAGATCCGTTGAGCCCGCGTCACCTGAGCTGGCGGAGGAGGCATTGGTGCACGTCGGGCTTCTGGGCTCGCGAGCCGTGTCCGCACTGTCATGTTGCTGGTTCTCCTGGCCGGAGCAGACCTCACTACCAAGGGCTAGTTGTGCCAGCAAACGGTCCTGTAAAATACTTTTACTAAGTTTCCTTTCGGATTCAAGCCGCGCTGAGAAGGCTCGCCGCGGAGGGCTTGGCAAGGCATTGCCTTGACAGTGTCGACAGTAAGGTCAGACATACTGAAGAAATACAGTGTCGAGGTGACACTCGGGCTGGCAGCAAAGCTACGAAAGGAAAAGAAACACTGCTGAAGCACGATCCGTTGTCTGGAAGAGCACAACAGGGCAAGCAAGATTTGTTTTTTCTTTTCCGCAAAAATGGGCTGGTGCCATTTGTGATTACGCAGCAAAACAAAGCGCGTGACGTCAGTCTTGAATGCAGTACAAAGCAATGCAGTGCAGTGTGTGCGCTAGTTCGGATTGTTGCTAACAAGTACTAGCACAGCTAGTACACCATTAAACCACGGCCCTTCAGCCAGGTGGCCAGGTGCTGAACAGCGGCTGAAAAGTGTGCAGAAACAGCTTGCTACATCGTATAGAGTGTCATCAGCAAACTGGATTGCTCCCACATTAAACGGCGATAGTTCTTCTGCTATGCCGCGGGCATAGACAATAAATAGCCGTGGGCCCAGTACCGACCCCTGGGGGACACCTGAGTAACTGGTGTACGGGAGACTTCTACTCAAGTAGTCTGGCCAACCTGAACGTACTGTTCTCTATCAGAGAGGTAATCCACCAGCCAACAGAGTGCCGTGTCGCAGATGCCAAGTTCGAACAGATCTTGCACAAGAGTTTGATGTTTCACTTTATCGAATGCCTTTGACATATCAACAAAGGGTTACACCTGTGTTGAGTCTGTTCATACGGGCCTCACAGATACCTTCCACAGCTAGCACTAGTGCGTCGGATGTAGAGTGGTGGGATCTGTAGCCGAATTGAGTTGGCGGGAATAAATTGCTCTGGACTAGATATCGTGTGAGTTGCTCGTGGGCTATCTTTTCCAACACTTTGGACGCAATCGATAACAAGGACACTGGTCGATGATTCTTTGGCATGCTCGGATCTCCGCCTTTGAAGAGTGGCGATATACTAGCACTTTTCATCTGGGCAGGAAATATGCCCTCTCTCAGGGACTTGTTAAAGATCAAAGTCAGGGATGGCGCCAGTACGTCTGCATGTGCGGGGAGAAGGGCTGCAGAAATGTCATCATCACCGCTGGACTTGGCCGGATTTAAACGTTCGAGGAGCTTCCTCACTCTGGCAATAGACACTGGCGCAAAGGCTGTCAGATCAGTGCTTGAGGCGGGCCCGTAGGGAAATGAGAGATGCACTGGGCGGCTGGCGTCCTCTACTATCTCTGCAAAGGTGTTTCGGATGGCATCAACGGAACATTGAGGTGGCTGAGATTGTCGATGTTTACCACTCAGTTCTTTGATCGTGTGCCATGTCTGTTTGGTATTGCCAGACGCAGCTCGAAACTTGGATTGGTAGTAGGTCTCTTTCTGTTGCCTATTATAGCTGGTAGCTTCCCGCCTGGCAGCCTTGAAAGCTGAGTGGGAATGTTCTGTTCCATCATTAAGCCACCTCCTATGGAGCCGGTTGCGCTTGGTCAAGAGGTGTAATAACTGGCGGTTCATCCATGGTACTGATTTTTTCTTGCGTCGAGGGCTTGGTGCAAGAGGAGCATGTCTGTGTAACACTTGTAGAAAGCGGCTGGCCCACTCAGTCCACATGACAGTTGGGCTTCCGTCAATTTCACAAAAATCCTGTTGGACCAAATCTGCCTTGAACTGTTCATGATTTATGTTTCGGTAGTGTCGCCGTAGCCCAGAAGTTACAGTACTTCTTACTGGGCTGAGTTGAAATTCACTGAGAACTGCTGCATGGTCACTGAACGCGATTGGGATAACAGTTTCAGAACCCTACCAGAAAAAAGGCAACAGAGTGTGCAGGCAAAGCAACCACACAGGCTCGCTTTACTTACATGTATTCCCATGTGGCGACGTGCACAATTCGGAACAATACAGCTTCCTTTGGCCCAATCTTGACAGACGTCTTCCTTGCCAAGTGCAGGTGCACTGTGTCGGAATGGACAAGCGGGTCCCTTCTTGCAGCTCGAGTAGTAGAAGAAGTAGCAATCATTACCGACTTGAGCCATCTGTTGTTCAAACATTATTTGTTGAAAAGAAACACAAATGATTCAACGCCAACTTTATAAAAAAATGTGGCGCAAGATGGAACAGTCGATGTAAGTTTTGTAGCCTCATGACTCCGGTTTGGGCCAAGATATTCCTTTCAATTTTTCACATAAGATGTGCAGAGGTACCTATATCCAGTCGTGTTATTTGTTCCTTATATTTCCAATTTCATGGCTCACCACGACCATACAAAATTCAATAAGCTTCGACCTTCATTTTGAAAATATGGCGATGCCCCCGAAACCAGAGTTTGTGCAGTCATAGCGGATACGCACCCTAGTTCATGCTGATCGATGTACACGATGTTCAGTCGAGTCCTAAATTACTGGTATTGTACGACTCCCTGGTCAAGTCTGCACAGTGAAAGGCTAGAGCCAAAGCAAATCTTATTGTTTGATGCCGGCAAAGACACGCGGAGAAGACGTCCTTTCTCCAAGCCACCTTGGTCATTTTTCCCGCTGGTGCATGTCAACCAAGATATGTCCTTGAGGTACTGGTGAACTGGGGTCCTGGCATCAACAAGAATTCGCCGCGCCTAGCTAACCAATGTTGTCGGTAGAACTCAGCGTTTCTTGATCACGGCTCGACACACTCTTTTCTGTTTGGCCTCGCAGCTTTCACCCTGCGAGTGTGCAATTTCCTGGCCACAACTGAATTCCTTAGTCATGACCATAGATGACAAGTGACTGGTATGATCTCTGATGGACCTAAATCATTAGCTTGAGTCAACACGAAGGTAAACTCTTCACTTGGAACGCTAGCTGCTTCCTCAGTCCTTTCTTGTTGCACTAGCAGATATGCGTACGAGAGGACCCAAGCAGACACTACTAGATATTGGAATAAGGGATAGGTGGTCTCCGGTCCGTGATGGACAATGAGAGCTCTGATACAGAGGGGAAAAAAGAGAGAAAGAGAGTGAAAGAGAGAGAGCTACAGAGACAGGGAGACAGAGACATAGCGACATAAGCAGAGACACAGAGAGTGACAGGGAGACCAAGAGCGAGACAGAGAGAGGGAAATACAAAGGGAGAGAGAGAGAGAGAGAGAGAGAGAGAGAGAGAGGGAAAGAAAGAAAGAGATAGTGAGAGAGAGAGTAAGAAAGAGATAGAGAGAGAAAGAACGAGAAAAAGTCAGAGAGAAAGGCGGAGAGGGAAATAGAGAGAGAGAGAGAGATTCGGTAGGAAGGGGGAGAGAGAGTATCGAAAAAGAAGAGAGAGAGTATCGAAAAAGAGGAGAGAGAGTATCGAAAAAGAGGAGAGGGAGTATCGAAAAGAGGAGAGAGAGTATCGAAAAAGAGGAGAGAGAGAGAAAGAGGGAGAGAGAGAGTGTGTGAGAGAGAGAGATAGAGAGAGAGAGAAGCACAGAGAGAGAAAGACAGAGAGAGAGAGAGAGAGAGAGAGAGAGAGAGAGAGAGAGAGAGAGAGAGAGAGAGAGAGAGAGAGGGAGAGAGAGAGAGAGAGAGAGAGAGAGAGAGAGAGGGAGGGAGAGAGAGAGAGAGAGAGAGAGGGGGGAGAGAGAGAGAGAGAGAGAGAGAGAGAGAGAGGCTTAGAGAGAGAGAAACTCAAAGGGAGAATAATAGTGAGAGAGGGAGTGTATAATAAAGAGTGAAAGGCTAAGGGGAACAGAGAGAAAGACAGAGCGGAAGGCAGAGAGGGAGAAAGAGGACAAGGGGTACAGATAGAGATATAGGACAAACAGCTTGAAAGAAGGAAGACAGACAAACAGATACTTACAGTAAATTTCACACTTCGCGGCCGACTTCACACCTAGAATCGAATAAATCCCAACTCTTCGGCAAGGACGATACTTAGCAAGGCGCTAGAGGGATCTATACAGAGAGAACCTGATTCTGATATCTGTTGGAAGACGGCAACTTACTCAGATACGCAAATAATCAATCTCTGGTGGGAAGCAAGGTGTTTGAGGGAAGACGCTAGAAAACCAACCGGTGACAGACACCGATCCTGGAGAACTAGTTGGAGACTGTAGCAAAGCTAGGGTTTATATACATGTGCCTACGCTACGTGACGTCACTTTGCGGCTGGTGGTTGGCAGCACAGTCGTCGGCGTGTGGTATAACTGTAAGGGCGCTCCGCTATGACACTAGACTGGGGCTTAAATGTGAAGGACCCCACGATAGGCGGTCTGCCTTTGGGTCATTAGTTACGTGTAGAAGAGGTCGTAGGCGTATAATACTAAAAAAAAAGAGGAACATGTAAGCATTAGGTCTGCACTCAGATGTACAGCCAAGGATAATTTAATTAAAAATAATTAAAAAGGACCAAGGAATTACAAGTGCCTCAGTTGACTGGATGTGTGTAATTGCGTGGGTACTTGCGAGCTAAAACTTACCTTCGTTAATTTTATTATTGTTATTATTATTATAACCCCTTGAGCGCGGAGTACTTGTACTTGTACAAGTACTTGTGGATCATTCGTTGTAATGCGTGGTGCTCTGTGCCGTGTATAAGATAGCTCTATTCGAATAATTATTGAGCACTCTGATAATTTACAGAGCCGGTGCACTCTAATGATTAATTAATGTGGAAAGCCAACGTGATTTTTTGGCTTGCGCGGCTAGAGGAAGCTCTACAGGTAATCAGCGTTCATGGTTGTGTGGAAAAGCGTCGATTACATGTACATGGGGGCGTCGCACGTGCTCCAAAATTCCAAGTTGAACAATCAGCAGTCAGCATTTCTAGTACAAGACATCTACACCCAGCGGAACCTCAGGCGGCATGTTGGCATCGTGTTCTTTGACCTAGCGAAAGCTTTCGACACCGTCTGGCATCGTGGTCTGCTTGCAAAGCTAGAGTCCGTCTTCTTGGTACACGGTCCAGCCCTGCAATGGCTCTCATCCTATCTTTCCTGCCGCCACCAGACTGTCAGAGTATCTACCTCCCTATCAGACCCATTACTGGTCGTGTCTGGGGTACCACAGGGGTCCATACTTGGGCCGCTCCTATTTCTACTGTACGTTAATGACTTGCCAGCCCTTGTACCAAATGTAAGTCTTTTTGCTGACGACACTGCTCTGATGTGCTCCGACAGCTCGGCAGACAACCTCACGGCCTCCATGCAGTCCGGGGTCAACGCTACAGTAACATGGATGGAAACCTGGAAACTGAAGCCTAACCTCGCCAAAACCGAGGCCATGTTCTTCTCTCCCTCGCCCCCCACTCAACTTCTGTATTTTCCTGGTCTAAATAGTACACCTATTAAAGTTGTTAACGAGCACAAGCACCTGGGCGTTATTCTCGACCGCCAACTCTCCTGGTCTCCACAAGTCCAGTCTGTGTGCAGGCGTGCGAGTGCGTCCTTAGGTATGCTACAACCCCACTGCCAACACTTGAATGATAACTGCAGAAAATTGTTCTTTAAGTCGTACATTTTGCCTATATTTGACTATTGCGATATAGCTTGGTGCGGGTTGTCTCAGACTTTACTCCACAGACTGGAGGTACATCAACGCTTGCTTCTGAAAATTCTGTTTCGAAAAGACCAAACATTTGCCTCCCTTTGTCTTTATAAACTTGCTTCCACGCACCCTCTTCTTGCCCGACATCAGCAGCATCTTTGTATCCTTGTGCAAAAAATCTTCCTAGCCCAAGTCCCGAAACATATTGCCAAGTACAACTGGTTTGTTACCACTAGACCAACACGCAATGCCTTATCACTGCCCCGAGCTAGTTCCTCTCTGTTTTTGAAATCCCCTTTCTTCTCAGCATACTCCCTTTGGTCTAACCTGCCTACTAGCATCAAGACATGCCAGGATATCAGGAAATTCACAGTCCAGCTTTCCACACTGTCTCATCCGAAGTGATCCCATGTATTATTAATGTGCCTCCCTTTCTTTTTCTCTCCCTATCTCCTTTCCCTCTCTGACAGCATCTTTCTTTTTTTTTTCCCTTTTAGCTTGCCGTGGTTGGCTATCACCTGACCTCTCATGTTTATTGGCAGTCTTCGGACGGGCCAGGAGATGTTGAATAAATAAATAAATAAATTTCGTCGCATTTTTGCTCGAAGTAGGGGGTGTTTGAAGGCGTTATAGCAGCACTTCAGTTAGGTTCTACGAGGCTGGGACTTGGCCCAGGCACAGATGACAGGTGTTCCAAAAGATTTATCGAAACAAATTTTCATTACTCATACGGGTATGCCAGAGCATATGCGTAAACTTCGACATGTAGCTAAGCCATGCACCAATACAAGCTACAGTACTGGCAAATGAAATCCGACCCCCTAGCGTCTCGTACGAATCGCTAACGCGGCTAGCGTACCGATACTGGCGATAGGGGGGTCGTATATCAGTTGCCAGCACTGTACAACTACAAGCAATACAAGAGGTTATGGACTTTTGCATACACGTATTTGAAGCATGTACTCATGAGTCATTGAGTCATGGTACTGCTGTAGTATACTACAGTGTTGCTCATTGAAATCCAGTCAAGTTTCTCAAGTACGCGCCGGGCGTTGCACAGCCCTAGACCAGTGAACACTGGGCTGCGAAATGATGCAAGGCGCAAACTTGAGTGCCGAGACTGGATTTCATTGAGCAGCACTGTAGTATGGGGCTTCGTAGACTGTCACCCACGTGACGTGTAACCAGTTACCTGTAGGATTTCGTAGACTAGTAGCATCGTGTAGGGCTTCCTCTGGCCGCGCATGCCACAAAATCATGTTGGCTTTCCACATCAATTAATTATTTGAGTCCAGGGGCACTGTAGATAATATTATCATAGTGCTCGATCATGATTCGAATAGAGCTACCCTATACACGGCACAGAGCACCACGCATTTAATACAACGAATGATGCGTGGTGCGCTTTGCTCATCATAACATTAATTTTTGTTTCTGGCCAAAAAAATGCTGAAGTGCCAATAATTATTTACTGTCTGAGAACTTAGTCAGGCCAGGATCGACAAAAGCGTCGAGCGAGCGAGGGCGAGCGCAGCGAGCGCACCGATACACTGACAGCTTGGCCTCGCGGCTTTTCATGCAGAGCCTCACCGGTGGCCTGGCCTTGTCCTGTGACCATGGTAGCAGTGCAAGGCTGTAGTGTAGGCTGTAGTGTAGGCTGTAGTGTAGGCTGTAGTATAGGCTGTACGGCTTTGCTTGCGAAACCAATGCGCTCTGCAGAGAGTGTTTGGTCAGCACTAATCGCGAGGAGCTGCTCACAGTCATCTGGATGACAGTGCTATGCTGTCATCATTGTCCGCTCCAGTCCACGTAGTGCATTACCATGATTACTAATCGGTAGGAGCTGCTCAGTGCTAAGGGTGGCCACATCATGCGAATTATTTTGTCCAAAATTGAAATTCAAAAAGCGAAAAAACGGTCAAAATGTTTAAGGAAAATTCAAAAAAATCCCCCAAAATGCAGAAAAAATTCGAACCGTTGCCATGGTTTTTACAGTACTCGTACCCAATAGTTCCAAAAAAACAATAAAATCCACAAACTGCTTATCATGTGTGTCTGTGTGCTTCCAAATTCGGGGATGGGTGACAAAAGGGCAAAGGCCAAAGCTGTGTGTATTTGAAAGTACTGTTTTCACATGTCAAACTAAACTTGGTAATAAATATATTGAGCAGCACATGTACTCTCGAGTAGATCTCCTGATGTGACATCACTGCAAGAGTACATAACAATGATAAGTTGATAACCCCCCTCTTGATCACTGTCGTTCTCCAAAAACGGCCAAAATTCAATCTGATGGGGCCAAAATTCCAAAATAAATCGAAGTGCGAAAATCCAACCAAAATTCAAAAATAATTGAACACATTTTGTGGGCAAGCCTACTCAGTGCTCACATCTGGATGACAGTGCTATGCTGTCGTCATTGTCCGCTCCAGTCCACGTAGTGCATTAGTAGCAGCATTACTGTGCACCGCACTGCAATTTGCTGAGCTGCTGACTACTGTATGTGGGACTCCGTTTATTCAGGTGCCTTGAAACTTATTCTCTTTGTCCTATTATTATTTTCTTTTCTATCATTTCTCCATCATGAGTTCCTAGCAGTGGAACCTCTCGTGCACTAGGCATAGACTTCACCACTTGGCTAAGAGACCTGAAGACTGATTGTGCGAGCCATTAGTTTGAATACACACACACATTACCAATCCGTTCACATGCTACGAGATTGAGTCTAATAATAATAATAAGATTAATAATAATACAGTAATAAGAATAATAAAAGCACATCCGTGAGGCACTACTGGGTGGGTCTTATGACGTACTAGTACAAGTCATCCGCGCTCAAGTCAAGGGGTTAAAAATAATAGTAACAACAATAATAATTAAAATTCTAAGCACTCGCAGACTCCATTGCAGCCACCCACACATTACAGGGTACCTCACTTCAGACTCTCCAACTACGGTCTCTTCGCTGCATAAGTTCACTCCACTTCCAAAATAAATAAATAATACTAGATATAAATGGAATGCACCAAATGTTCGGGCATGGCCCATCTTCAGGGTGAAAACCCCATTCAACTTAAAAGCCAACAAAAACTGAACCGAGTATATAATGCTGTGTGGTGTGGTAGTGCTGGAAATGTTTGTATGTGTGGAGGGTAGCAGCAATGGTGAAGTGTGTTGGTAGAAAGGGAAGGAGCGAAGGAGACCAGTGAAGAGCTGTGTCTGTAAGTGTGAATATGTGTTAGTGCGGCGTGAAGGGAAAGCACGAGAAGTGTGGTTACCAGCAGCAATGGTGAAGTGTGTTGTTGTGTGTCTTGAGCAGCAGACACCCAGACATACGCTTCACAGTGGAACACACATCCTTCGATTTTAAAGTGATACGCCGGCGACCTCTTCTACACGTGACAACTAGGATGACCCAAAGGCAGACCGCCTATAGTGGGGTCCTTCACATTGAAGCCCAAGTCCAGTGTCATCGCGGAGTGCCCTATACCACACGCTGACGAATCAGCAGCCAATCATCAACCGC